CTTATTACTTGAAATGTTGCACCAGCAAGAGAGAAGGCAGCTGGTCAGCACAATCTGTTCTTCGATGTGCTCCATCAGGCGAGCTCAGCAGTATTTTTCTGTTTGCAGAGTCCTTATTACTTGAAATGCACCAGCAAGAGAGAAGGGAGCTGGTCTTGGGGCTCCCAGGCTGAATCCGTGAGGCTGGCAGTCGGGAAATGAATCAGTCCTTAATGAGTCAAGTGAACAGAGAAGTCCGATCAAACTTAGTGCATTGCGATGCCGTTGGTAGAAATTTTCAAAGAATTGACTGCACTTTTGGAGAATATATCCTATTTTTATTTGCCTTTTTTTGCACATTAATGTATCCAGTAATTAATATGCCCACCAAATGAAAATGAGCATGAATACAGCTACTATGAAGAAGTATTTTAGAAATCTCATATAGCCTTCAATATTGGGATTATCATCTATTTTTGTTTTGATAAATGAGCTATGGGTGTGATATTCATCTCTCACATAACTTCTCTTGTTATTCTGTGTGAAAATAACCCTTAGTTGTAGAACAGGACAAATTTTCTTCCCTAAATGGACAGGAAACACACTCTAATAAGCAAAGGAAGATGCCAATAAATGAGGGACATTTCTTTGCTTAGTAAACCCATAAGCAACCAAAGATTTCTTTTATCAAAAAACATTTAATTAAATTAGTTCAAAGCCTCTAATTGACCTTATGAATTAGAAAAACAAAAGGTTTTGGTTAGCAAAAAAAAAAAGTGTCCTTGCATATAAATGGTGTAAAAAGAAGGACCATTCATATGTATAATTCATTAGCCTCTGTATAAAGAAAGGAAGTGCAGAAGGATCGTATTCCTGTTATAGCTTCACTTCAAACTTCTTCCCAGGAAAAATTCCATCATCTGAAATCTAATATTATAACAGTCAGAAACATGACTTAGAAAGCTTAGAAAGTCCTTTTCACTTTATATTATTTGAGTTATGAAACAAGTTAAATAAAATGTATTAAGGCTTCACAGTACATATTAGCTGTTTAGTGACATAATATGAAACTGATGGCAAGTATTCCTGAATGTTATCTCCAGGTTTGTTGCTTACGCTGAGCAACAAACAATACCTGCTAAGTGGGCATTCTGATTTCCTTAACTTCAAAATTAATAAAGCAATGCTTTGTTAGCAAGAGTAATCAGTCTGCACGCCGTCTCAGAGTCATATTTGGTGATGGTAGGTGATCTTTAACAGAGAAATATGTCAGTAAAAGTATTTCAACAATTTACATTCTCAGTTGCCCTCCATTCAGTTATTTACTATCTCTTAAGCTGGAATTTATATATTCTGACCATGAAAACGGCTTATTACCCAATGTGTAACACCCTTGGTCTCATGCAGGCCTTGAAATGCAGCCTGCACAAAATCTGAGAGTTCGGAGTTTTAGTGAAGGTTAAATGGTGTTAGTGCTGACTCTGTGACTGAATTGCAACCTTAAACCAAAATCTTCAAAAACAATTCCCAAAATTCAGGGATGAAAATTCTTTCCAAAGTCAGGTTTATCAGTGGAAATACTCTGCTGTTTATCATACAGAATTCTGGAGCCTTTTTTTCAGAGACAAAGTCCAAAGTAGATGACCTAATTTTTCAAATAGAAAAGTCTTTTTGGCTTTATCTGTGTCTGGAAGTGCTCACCACTTTGGAAAAAGAGGTCACGTAGTGATTTAGTATGCACTCAGGAGTTTGATCCTAGACTCCCAGTTTTTAAAATATTCATCATGTTAGGCCTATTACATAGATGCTCAGAGAGTGATATATGCACTGCAGTGAAACATGCAGTGAAGATATAAATTAGTAAGTATTGAACAAACAAGTTTGCTCCCGAAACAACTGACCTGCACTGCTGCCAAGGCAGATTTTCTTCAGAAGATTAAGAATGGATTTGGAAAGGGCTAAAACAACGCGGCTTCCTTCACTTCGATATTCCTTGCCTTTTGAGTAATTCACATGTCTTACTGATATTCTTGAATGGAATCTGTTAGACAAGAAGCACCTTGTTGATCTGTAGAAAGAAGACAATAAATGATAATTATATATTCAGAAGGCTGAATAAAATGTAGGGGTTTCAACAATTTCAAACCATGACGGAATATAACAGGTCATATTTCATAGCACTTTGAGTTGATGTAGTAATACTTTGCATAAATGTTCTCTAATTTTTAAATAAATAGTAAGTGTTGCATATGGGTAATGAAGCTTTGCCTGTTTCCATGTTAATTATGTTCTGAAAACGCAGTGCAAATAGTAAGCAGTATATATTATTATTATTAATTGGGTTTATTTAAATTTTAAAAGTGCCAGGACTGGCCAAGCCCTTAGGCACTTCATGAATATTTCTGCACTCCTTATGCCTGACATAACCTAAATCAACAGTCATTTCAAAGCATATTTATTTTTGCAGAATATAGGTTGCAATTAATCATGTCATGTGCTGGGGGGGAGTAGAGCTGGAACTGAACTTGGGCCTCTTAGCAGATCCCCTGTGCTTTAGCTCTTTGGTAAGATCCTTCTCAGCTTTATTTTCTTATGCATGTCTTTCATGCAGGAAAGTTAAACTCTCAAGTAGTTAAAGGCTTTACTGACATCACTGGAACTGCATCCATTTGCACATGTCTCCTCTGTCATTATGCTGACAGGTAGTACTGAAGGTAGTACTGACTGCTTCAGGTGGCATTCACATGTCTCCTCTGTCATTATGCTGACCGGTAGTACTGACTGCTTCAGGTGGCATGCACTTCCGCACAGAATGGGCTCTTCTCTGTATTTTCTACCTATGTTCATCTCCAGAACTGTTTCTTGCTTCTTCACATTGTTCTGAGCCTGGTCATTTGTATACAAAATCTGTGGTTTGCAGAGACGATATTGTTTGTTTTCATTTTCTATAATGAATAGCATTCATTTTTCTTACGATTCTGTTATTCTGCTTGCATTAACCTCCCCCCCAAAAAAAAAAGTTGCAGTTGTGTAATTATAGCAGAATATCTCTATATTTTAGATCTATATTCACTTTTGTTCTCATTTTTTCATCTCAAAAGATTTCAGTGTGGTGCCAGAATATTAATAAATCAATTTTTGGAGCACAAAAGCTCAAAGACTGTAAAGAGGTACAAGTCATTTATCAAAAGGTCACTGTGTAGCAGCAATTTGATTTTGTAACATGGAATGTAATTTAGAAACACACACACACAAATATATATATAAAAATAAAGCCAGGACGTAGAAGCAGTATGAAACCCTATGAAAACAAGCATACATATACAGCAGTATATGTAAGTGGGCTACTGACCATTTATTTTGCAAAGAGGGGAAAGAAGAATTTTTATAACAAGCTCAATTTTATGAACTTGAAGTGTCAGAAGGTGTGAAAGAACTGGGCGTATTCATCAATCAAAGTATGACTATGAGTTATGAACTATGTAAAAAAGAAAATCTAATCATAGACCATATCAGACAATGAATTGCCACCATTATACTAGTGAAATCTCATCTGGAATACCTGATCAATTCTAGTCAGTCACAGCAGATGAATTCTCACTGGAGCAGGTGCAGAAAATGGATATCTGTGAAAGAGAATCTACCCTATACCTCAAGAGATTTAAACCCAGTATCATAGTTAAATGAGTGCTAGGAGCAGGTAAGTGTGTGTTAGGAGCTTGCTCTCTCTCAATAAATCCAGAGAATAAACATTCAAGTGCAGAGGAAGGAACAGAAGCTACATAAGGCAACAAGAAATTTTAGTTTAAGAGCAATAGGATATGAACTGACTGTGAAAAGGTCATAATTTGTCCTGCTACCTGTTGAGTTGTGTTCTGGGAATTACTTTCAACAGAAGTTGAAGAAGAAAAATGGGGTAAGAGGCTATATTATTTTATTGGCTGTTATTGCAAGAACAAGAGTTAATCTGAGGACATCCACTTCAGTCCTTTGTAATATGTTCCCTCCTGTAAAAGCCCACTCAAGACATTGGTTTACAAAACTGAGAAAACATGTTGAGGCACTGGAATCCTTCTTACTATACAAGTGAAATACGAGTACTTTGTGTTTAGTTTTAAATTGTTGCTGTATTATAAAACCAGTAAGGAAGGCAAAGGTGTGTAGCTGTTAACCTTTAGCTAGAGTGGTGCCTGTTTCTTTGGATTTAGAAAACTAAAAAGTGACAAGTTAAAGCAGGCTCATGTGTAAAGTTTTTTTGAGTTGTAATAAAATACATTTTTTGTTGACTTTTCATTATTAAAGATGCTGTTGAAGGGAATAAGGATAGCCAACCTTTTGGCATAGTTGTTTCAAGAATAAACTTGCCCATGCCACTTGTTAAAATCTTTAGTCCTTAATACCTTAGGGAAAACTTGGATAACCTACATTGCCTCAGAACAATAATTTCTCTAAGACTAATCCACCTGAGCCAATCTGGGCATGCTGCACACAAACTGCACACTCGCAGTGTGAGCTGAGATCAGATGGGTCACGTGGAGGTAGGCAGTTGTCAACCGAGTGGCGTGACCGGTATGCGGAATTGTTCCCGGAGGTTAGTCACCCTCCCTCTCCAAACACTACCTCCAGCTCCCTGCCTGAATCACAGTGCTGTGACCGTGGATGAGGGGAAACCACAGCCTTCTGGCTCTGTGGAACCTGCTCTCCGCTTGTCTATCAAGAGCATCCTGCACCAGTCTGAGTCGCTAACACTGTTAGCTTTCCATTCTGCCCACGGGCCCAGGGAGCATGTGTGTGACCATGTACCCAGCAGCATGCAGTGGGGTTTATTTTGGTCCTGCTTTTCACAACTTCAGTGTTCGGGTAAACACAGATGCGCTCTTCAGAGCTGGAGGACTCGGACATTCCCCAGACTTTGTGAAATGTACCCACACCCTTCCTGACTCCACATGTCCATAGTCTTGCAGTTTATGCAACAGTTTGCAATCTTTCTCTTCATATGTTTTCTATTTTTGCCCTTACAGATGGTCAAAAGAGGAAGAAATCATTAAGAAAGAAACTGGACTCATTAGGAAAGGAGAAGAACAGAGACAAAGGTAACATAAAAAGAGTGCCTATGCACTGGACAGGTCTAAATTTTGCATATAAGATTTGTTTAGGTTTAAGTGTGTCCTGTCTGGTGTAAGAGAAGGTTACCAGACTTACATATTGCCTACATATTTATTTCTAAGTTCAAAAAAATGCACCCCCTCCTCATGTAGTTGTTGTTAGCATAGCTCAGCTCTCCTTGACTCAGTTCGTTTTCTGGGAGAAGAGGAGGAGTTAAATGAAAGCTGTATCTTCCCCTCATTTTCTTCCCTTAATTTTTCTTTCTTCTCATTTTCCCCACCTAGTGTGGGGTGCAGTCTGGATAATACAATCCAGGTGTTTACCTACCTTGCATTCTCCTTTTTCAATTCACAAAGCACGTGAACCAAGCCTAGCCCAAGCTAGTCATTTGGCTTGTTTTTCTTTTTTACCTTAGGAAAACAGGCATTGTTTAAAATGTGTAAATGCTTCAGTGCTATTGCTCGGTTGATTTCTAATATACCTCATATGACTTTTGTTTGGACACTGTTGAGCTTTATGGGCCGAGTCCTAATTCACTGGACTTGACCTATAAGCTGCTTCCATTTGTACTAAGTCGAGAGACTGAGACTTCAAACCATTTGCTGATGTTGCTGTTTTTTGCATGTAGGTAATTGTGCATCTAATTTTGTGTTCACTTGTAGAAAAGAAGTTCTGAAAAAGTAGTAGTAAGACACTGTTAACACCCAACTCCACAAACTTATTTACAAATACATAAGTTTTTAACAGTGGAGCAATTTGATTATCTGATGTTATTAATCCTAATCTAATTTAGTAGGAGAATGGAATTTTGAAATTCCATGAAAAGAATAGTATCTCCTTAAAAAAGCTATTTTAGAATTTTGGTTGTTGGGAAGAAGATGCTTTTCATTTAATTTGTGATATTTGTTGATTTCATATATGTGATTGCTATTTTCTTGGTTTAAAAATGACTGTGAAAACTAATTGCATTAGTCTCTGTAAAATTAAAAGTCCTTTGATACATTTGTTTGGATAAATGCAGTTGCCATTTTGCTTTGTAAATAACAGACAGTAAAATTTCTCATTTGTTATGAGAATCACTTGTTGTAGTACTGAGTCCACATACAGAATGAGCCTCTGGGGAAGAGGTTTAATGGTTTTATAATCACCTTTGGGGAAATATCTATCATACTGCTCCCTTTAGTGTACATTACTTCACATCTGTCTGGAGTGTAATTAATCACTCATTATGTTGCTGGTTTCCTTGTTTTTCCCATAGCTTTATGTTGAATAAAGAGTGCAAAGCAACATCATTTTGTGCAAAACTTTCCATTCCAGTCAGTACGTTTGTGTGATATTCATCCTCCTACTTGTCTGTGGGGTGCTCGTAAGCTTAGGAAATGGCTAACAACTTAATGCTTTTTGTAAAAAAAAAATTCTGTCTCTCAATTTTTTATCTATCTCCCCCATACAAATAGTGCTACCTTAGTAGCCTCCTTTAAAAGTTTCTACATAGAAGCTAATTTGAGAGGCGAAGTATATTACATTCTTTTTATTCCCTATTTTTATTGCAGGAGCTAATTTTAAAGATAACAGATTAATTCATCAAAGACTTAATTTTGTTGTGTCAAACCAGTAGATCTTTTCAATTGCATTTCCAGAGCTTCCACAATGCCTCCTCTGGAGTTTCCTTTGGCTTTAAGAGATGATAGCTTCCACTGGTGATGTATATAAATACTTATCCCAGATTTATTCGTTATTCCTGTTAATTTTCTGTGACCAAAAATGCTTCAAAAAAATTTTTTTTTGCATTGCTTGGGACTCTTTCATGATTTCCTTTAGCCTCATTTTATTCCATCTGATTTCTGTTTCCAATAATCTCTCAATTATACTACTTGAACGCTTAAAATAGTATAATTTTCTGCCAGTATGTATTTGGGGCTTTTTTAGGTGTACCCGACATGTTAGTATTTATACTGCATTTTATTAGTTACCTCTGGGATAAACATTCTCCTTTTATTCAGAGAGTTTTTTCTGAGTGCACCTTTCCATTTAGGGCTCAGTAGCTGCCCACAGCAAAGGTCAGCACTCTGTGCTTGTATATATTTATATACTTCCTGTTTCTTGCCATTGCTCATATCTTCTGGTTAACTTCTTCCATGCATTTTTAACAGTCCCTATGCTGATGCTCTTATTTGATTTCATTTTTCCTGCTTCTTTTTGTAACTTCAATCCGTTTCAGTATGTCTCTTCTTTTTCCTCTTTATCTCATCTTCTACTGTCTCCTTCCTTATAGTTTAAATTCCGGCATGTCTTACATGCTCTCTCCTTATACAAATTGCTGTAGAAACACAAGCCAAGGGTGGCCCAGCACTACTTGAATAGCAGAATCTGTATTTCTTCTTCTTCTTCCATTGGGTCTGCTGGATTGACAGAAGAGGCAAGCCTGTCAGTAAGGACTCAAAGGGCCAGGAAGTCAGAAGGGTTCGAGTTCCCAACCAGCTGTGAGCAAAGTCAGAAGAAAGCTGTGTTATTCGTTGCCTATAGCAAACAGAAATAGCCAAGTTAAAAGTGTATGGCACTGCAGTGATCCTCAGCCGCCTTCAGATGGTGGTGTGAAAGTACGGACACAAGAGCTGACTTTTGAAAGAAAAACATAGACCTTAATCTGCTGTCATTTCTTGTCTATGTAAAGATGAGCCTGCAGCGCTCGCATCTTGGCCAAGCCACACCTGCTTCCCTATACAGAAGCACCAGTCAAAGGTAACATCTCTCGTTTTGTGTGCCACAGCAAGTTGAGAGTATTATCCTGCTCGGTTCCACAGTGTTTTCTTAACAAGCATTTCTATGGTTTATTTTATAAAGAGAATATCTTCCATTACTGGGCAACCAGTCCAAAACAAACACTCTGCACTGTGGACGTGGGTGTGCTCACACAAAGGGCCAAAGAGCACTTACTTACTCATTCACCCTTGCAGGTCCTAGTCCTCATGACTGTAAGGAACGCCTTCTTTATTTCTGTCTTGGTAGCTGCTGAAACCACACCATTCAGAGAAGGCAACAGGGAGAGCAAGGAGAAGGATGTCAAAGTGGAAGCAGAGAAGCAGAACTCAGAACACCTTTTATAGACAAGCGTGCCCATGTTAATGCAAAAAAAGCACTTGTAGTCCTTGCAGTCATCTCTGTGTCCACAGCTGTGGACATTTCCTGGAAAACAAGTGTGGAGCATTTGTGTGCTTGGCTTTGCCTGACAGTTCTCTTTCAGCACTGACATGGGTCGGATCACTCCAGGGTAGGAACTTTTGGAGTAATCCTTTCTGGAGCTACCACCTCCCTCAGATCCATGCCTGAGACAGCTCTCCCTCAGCTCCACTCCAACAGATGGCTGTGTTTTATAAGCATAACCAAAAGGATATGGTACTCATATCTTCCAGGACTGTTCTGAGATTTAATCACTCATATTTTAGGACTCCGTCCAATCTGGAATTTTTACTCTCATAGCATCACATTTTATTTAGATGGATCATTCGATCAACCTGCCTATCAGTTAAGTGAGAGTTTCCGCAAACTTTTACACTTTTGAAGGTCATCACAGACACTAAAGTAAATTTGAATGTGCTTTAAATTAGACTGATATCATTGTTTTGTCCTTTTTGATGGGTACATCTGTCATCATCTAATTAAAAGGAAAAAAAAAACTAAAGCAAGTGTTTTTTCATTTGTTTTTACTTCTCTGAGTGACTCACCAGAGCAGGATATAGCAAAACTTGCCGGATGTAAAAGAACTAAACAGGAGAGCAGCACTCCACCCAGATATTGAAGGCAGTATTTTCAGCTGCTGTCAGTGTCTTTGCTTTTCTGTAGCCTGCCTCCTTGTTATTTAGGACCATCGTGACTTTCGTTGTGTTGACTGCATGTGTCTCAAAGCATTTGCTTTAGCTGCTGACAAGCAGTACTCATCCTGGGAGAAGAGTAAAATGTCAGTGGTGCTTGGAATAAGAGATTCTCAGGATGCTCTGCATGCCGGCAGCAGGGTTCTGTTCCCTTACAAATTTGCTGCTAAATTTGACAGGGGCAGGAGCAGAGCCTTTCATTTGCCTCCTGCCAGTGAGAGAGGGAGGTCAATGTAAGTAAGTGTGATCTTTGGAGAGCACACTCAAGCATTCCAGGGAGAGGTGCTTCTCAGAAAGGGTTTCTCCTGGAAGATTTTTTCAGTAAATGAGCTCCATTTTTGCTTGCTTCCAGTAAAATCTACAGGTGAGAAACAAGACAAGATTATAAATAATAATCACTTATTGTGAGATTTCTTGGGCAACTTAGAGTCACCTCTTTTGGTCATGTTTCTGTGCGGGATGTAAATCTTGGTGCATTCCTTGGTGGAACTCTAGCGGAGCTGCTATATATGCTCTTGTTTCTGAGAAAAAGAAGTGCTGCTAATCCTGTGGAAGATGCATCTCCCTTGTTTATTGTTTGTTTATTTTTAGTTATATTTCAAAATTCTCAGAATCTTCTTCCATGTTTACTGTCCAACCATTCTTAGCAAATGTAGAGATATTTCTTATTGTTCGCCTTTTTTCTTCTTCAGTAATTTGAAATATAAGGTTGTCAGCATTTAGAACAATCTAAAAAGAGATATAAATGTATGAAGTTTGTTCTTCATTATACTTTATCAGAAATTTATTTTTACAAGCCTTTTGAGTGCCTTTTCAATAATGTGTTTTAAAACTCACTCAGGTCTCTCATACTGTGTAAGCATTTGAATACTTCTTTTCAACAACCTTGTGTTGCATTTAGGTAACTAATGTTATTTAAAGTATTGAAGAACCTCTTATTTTTTCAAAAACAGAGTCCTCCTCACAATCAAAACCAAAAAAACTGGGAAGGCCTTACATCACTTCTTGAAGGTCAGTGAGCTCAGACCAGCTGAAGGAGTGAATTTCACCTGCAGATCTGAGAGCACTTTCTCTTACCTCTGTTTTTCTGCAGTTAGTTGAGGATTTTGACAAACCTTCACATGGAGAGAATTTTGTCATTTCCTTTATGGAACAAGTTTTTGGTCTTCCTTCTTCACATGCTTCCATCAGTCTTTCTCTTTGGGTCTGACATGGTTAATTTTAGTTAGCAGAAGGAGAGTTACCAGATCTGGTCAGTTGGGTGTCTGATTTAAAGACCCCATTTAAAAATCCCTCTGAAAGCACATTAGTCTTTCAGGTATCTCCCACTCTTGTTCTTGTCATTTTAAAATGGTTAGTATAGCACCTCAATAGATTTTAATCACAGGGCTCTACCATCAGCTCAAAATTAGCACTAAGACTGCACATTAGGAAAAAAGAAAAAAGTTTAAGACTATGGAAAGGTGCTATGCTGTTCACTTGGCTGATGTTTGGAAGCCATGAGAAGCCTCGTTAAGGTCTGAAGTATAGACCCATATTAGTTCTTACTGTACAGCCATGGCTTTGAGATTGAAAACACTGTTTTTGTTAGCTGAACTTTCAGAGAAGTCTTCAAAATTGTGCTTGGATTGTGTGGCATGAGGCCAAGTATGCTAACTGTGTGGCTGGAGTATGAGCAATGGATCTTCTAATAAGCAAAGCAAAGGTCAATGAAACTCTTATTTGAAATGGCTTGGAATTTTTATGTGAAATATTCCTTTTTATTAGAAGGTGCTAATTTACCAGCACAGATTTTTTTTTTTTTTTTTTTTTTTTGTGTGTGTGTGAATGTACCAGTTTTGACTAAAACTTTGTTAGGAAACCTGCCTCACTTGCAAGATGGACTTTCTGGTAAGAGAATTCATGCACTTCTCCAAAATATCAAATACTCTGACAATCTAAGAGAAATTAAAGAACGAGATTAAAAATCAAGTTCTTCTACATTGCTGTTTCGGGCACAGGGTATGCACTTGCCTTTCCATGCTGATTGCCCAGGATGCCAACTTGCTTCACACTCTTATCTGGTGCTGTCTCCAAAATTTCTTTTCAAGCTGTCCGCTATACTAATTGAGCAAGTGAGTAATCAAACTTTAATAGGGCTTAAGGGAGTGACTAACTCAATAGCTTGGTGGCCATGGCACTCAGTACAAGCAGACCAAAGTTTGAGCCTCTGCTCAAAGGAACTCTTCTTTATACAGAAGGAAACAATTCCGATGGTAGGAAACTCCAGCCTCCGTCAGCAATAGATAGTTGGTACTTTTACCTTAGCTGTTAGACCAGAGCCATAAGTCTGTACATGACACATATGAGTCAGTGTCTTGTTCCCTCATCAAGATGTTGCTAACTACGTTGTGTGACTATGACTCCCCCTTTTTTTTTAAATGAATCTGGAACTTTGGAAAGGCTGACCTTGTCTGTTTTGGATGTGACATTGCCTGTCAAACAAGGAAATTGCTGGATCTGAATGTTTCCAAGGAGTTGTAGGCAAAACATCCCTAGCCCGATCAATGATTCTGGTGAGAATGAAGGATGTAACTAGTCTGATGGAGGATACAGCCACTTCTTTGAATTTCAGCAAGTGAATAAGAAGCTACTGATTTTGCCAGTTCTTCAAAGTAATTACCCCTGCCAGCTAGCATCACTTCCGTCTGTATTTAGTCTGAAGATACGCCAGGTGGTTTTCATCTAGTTCCCCATCTCTGCCAGACACTGAGAAATCAGAGAAGTGGTTCACGTCCTCTGAGAAAGAGACCTACAGCGAAGCACCACCTCCTTCCTCAGTGTCCTTCTCTTTCAGCACCAGGTGAGGCAAACAGGAGGGATCAAAACCCTGCATCCCATAGCCGAGGGCTTAGAAGGAGGAGCAACACCTACCTGGAAATAACAACCTTTAACTAACAAAGTGTGTGTTTGTGGAATCACTTTAACAAAATCCTTTGGAAAAAACCCTGAGATCTCACCAAGTCTCAGCCTGCATAGTGCTGCCATGTAATTGACAGTATCAACATGCTGTGGGGCATCCTGGGACTACCTGCCACTGTCACCTCCCAGTTTGAAGTACACATGACTAAAAGCTAAGAACAGGGAAATATTACTTGCTTCAGAAGTTTATTTGGCTCGGGGTCTTCTGTCAGTAAGACTTGTGGAAGGACAGATCCGTAGAGATGCTGCAGGTATAATGAAGTACCCAGTAAGGCAACCAGAAGGGAAGTGGTGTTGCAGGTGCGTTTCACATGAATTTTCAAAGTAAGTTGATGGTCCTTAATGTTAACTTTGTGAAGATAATCTGGAACAATAAAATGTTTCAATATGAATAATCTTATAATTTTCAAGTCACTCTCCATGGGGTGTAGGAAGGAAGACCTAACTCTGGACACTTGGACTTCACAATCCCTGCGTTGCTTGATACACAATGTATAAGTTAAATGAGGTCAACGTAGATTCCATTTAAAAGTAATTTTCCTCACTGATTATCTACAGACTTGCTGAATGTGTGAGAATCTACCTCCTGATTTAGTTTTGCCTGGCTACCAAAGTTAGTTCATCTCTTAACATTTCATGCTTCTAAAGGTCAGTAATGCTTCTCACCAAATCAGAACAATGGGTCCTTGTCACTTTAGTGTGACAGTGATGTTCTCATTCAAGATTTATAAAATATACTCTTCTTTTCAATGCTTTAATCTTAACTGATAATACAAACAGATAAAAATTGAAATTGCCCTCAAAGACACAGCTGGACTTTTAGTCTGAAGAGTAATTTTGGCCTTTAAACATTTAGATTATTGTGACAGAAGTGAAGATGAATATATAAGGAATAATTGTTTGCTTCTTGTTCCCTTTTTAGTTCTTTTAAATAAAAACTTGCTTTTAATCTCTAGTGCCTTATTTATCCCTGAAACAAGCAGATCTAAAGCTGGAATTTGGTTGAAACTGTACAAGTTTTCACCAAGGCGATCTGACTTAATAGCTACTTTGCTCTATTTGAACACAAAATATTTCAGATTTGCAGTTTCACCCAACAGGTTAGATTCCATTAATCTCAGATAGGTCTTGATCTGAAACTTCGTGCTGAGAACTTCAAGATTTGTTGTTTTTGTTGGCTGATTCATTGTGGAGCATTTTTCTGTTTTGCAGAACATTTGAGTATTTTACTTTGAGATTTGAACTATTTGCAGCGTTTGTACATTACAATTATATTGATGCATTTACTGTGCAGTTATACTGAGGTGGGATAGGATTGTTTGCTTTTTTAATTGATGAAACCTGGTACTCTGCTATACTTTTATATAACTACACTTGCTTTTATACTGTTGCAAATAATCTTTATACTGCTAAACCACTGTGACAACTGGTTTAATCTTACCAGTATACTAAAGCAAGATAACTCTTGTTTATAAAAAAGGGCCTGTGGACCAGATCTTTGAAGGCTTAGACTGGACGTGCTTGCATGCTCCTTGTACAGGCTCGTACCCTTTACACTCTAATGAGACCCATGTGCTTGCCATTGCTCCGGAGCCCTGCAGCATTTGTGAGGAAGAGACCTAGTGAAGGGGTCTGAAACATGAGTGAGCTGTTGCATGTTCTGGCTTAGTCCCCAGTCTCATGATTCCAGAGCCTCTGGTGATCTATCTAGATACAACTAAACGTACCTGACTTCCAGTTACTTCCACTGGAAGTTGAGATATCAATCAAATCTGATTCCAATTGATTTTCCACAGTTCTGTGTGGTATATGTTGTATGATTCAACTGAAAAAAGAATTTGGATACCATGAACTGCAGTTACCTTACACTTTAATTCTTGAATATTGTAATTATGCAGGCCTGTACTTCACTGGAATTACTGTACATTTAAAGGAACTCCAGATTGTTTTTCTTTTTAATGACTTAATGCTGAATTCTTTTTGAACTAAATAAATATCAGCTGTTCAGTAAACACTAATCTTTTTGTTGCAGAATTTACTCCCCAGGCTTTTGGAATGCCTTTGTCCCAAGTGATTGCTAATGACCGGGCCTACAAACTCAAGCAAGACTCTCAGAGGGAAGAGCAAAAAGATGTTTCAGATTTTGTGGCCTTTCTCTTACCATTTGGATCTAAAAGACAGAACAAAGAACTTTCAAGCAGTAACTCATCTCTTAGCTCAACCTCAGAAACACCAAATGAATCCACTTCTCCTAATACTCCAGAGCCAGCACGAGCAAGGAGACGTGTAAGTACATCCATAACAACGTGATGCATACCGATATGTCTGGAGGTTTTAGCCAGCACCAAAAAAAGAACCATATTGTATTTGTGGGTTGTGCAGTGTCTTCTATCATGTTTAAGCAGTGTTTTGGTTTTTTTTTCATGGATGCCAACCTGGTCAATATGAGAAAATTCTAACTGTAGTAGAAAATTGTCTTTCACATGTGCTGATGGGATAAGATCACATGGACTGTGTGAGTTTTTTGTGTTCCAAAAGTGAGAGAGAGATTATTTAGAAGTATTCCTCTTCACTCCCTTTATCTACCTCCTCCCGTTTAATTCTTATAGATGTAACAAATTCCATCAAACTTCAACCTATTTTTTCTGCTGAGGAGGACTAAACCTATGTGGTTGATATTTATATGTATCCTTATATCAATATAGGTCCATAAACTTGGAAATGGTCCATAAACTTGGAAATAAATCTAGCTATTAATCTGTATTCTTATATAAATTAAAAACGCTATGGACTAATTTCAATCATGTCCTCAGTGTTAAAGCAGAAGATACCAGAGTAAATTTGTGCTAGACTCTTAGAAAGAAATTTCTGAATACAAACTGCAAGGATCCCTTTGACAACATAACAAAGTGGGGTGCTTTCGAACCAGTATCAGTCCTGCATATAAGGTAGATACCTAGTAGATCATTTATTGGACGGGTTCGAAAACAAATCTTCATCCAGAAAATAATGCTCTACAAAAGGTATTCTATTGCTTTAAGCAACTGTTACGCTCTAAACTCATGCAGCTTTCCAATACTGAAGCTAGTAATGGCATTAGAAATCTTTTTTTTTTGTTACTTTTGTTTTTAATAGAGTTGTTACTATAAGAAAAAATGTCCTCACATCATTGTTCTTTAATTTTGTAGAGTAATGAAGAGGAAAATGCCTAGTAAAATACTTTCAAAAAAGTCTTGTTAGAGTCTAATCTTAGGAAGTCTAAAGTGTAATCTTAGAAAAGATCTCAAGCCTAATCTTCAAGAGGGTTGGAGCACAAAGGTAGATCTGCAAAGTAAAATAGGCTCCTCACCTTCATTTCTCTAGGCTGAAACCTGCTTGGTTAAGCATTAACCTACCCTATATTAATCCCACAGCCCTGGGGAACAAAGTGTAGTATCATCTCCTGTGTCATTCCTGAACAGTCATGTTGGTCTGGCTGAGTCCAAACTAACGGGTCTGTGTGGGTCTGGGCTAGCCCTAGACAGCCTGTCGGTGCTGCGCTCCTTTGCATTTGCAGGCTTTCGACCAGAGCTGACCTGGCCTTGGTGTTGCCAAGGAATGGTGTACTTTAGCTCAATGAACTCAAGATCACTCTTCATAAAGCCAGCTCAGTGTCTCAGTTAATCCACAACCTTGATAGACTGCCCAAGGATAGCTAAGAACTGTCTGCATTTACATCTATTTTAGGGATCTGAATCCGACTTAAGTGACTGATAATAATGATCAGAGCTAGGTGCAGATGTCTTTCTTACAAAAAGAGAATGACTATACATGCAGGGTATAAAGGAGGGCACCTGTCATATGGGAACTATCCAGGAACTGTCACAGGGAGGATGGTGATAGGATTTTTCCATGTCACTCAGCATTGCCCTGGATGAGCTTCCACTGAAGCCCGTGATGTAATCTGTGGTGTCCATCAGCTGGAAAAGAGTACAGTGAGCACTGAAAGCCTCGGAACTTTTGTTTGTAATATAATGTCCTAGCTATATGCAACTAATTTTGATATCTGAGCTCCAAATCTTTAAAAAGAAAATTGAAGAATTGTTCAGTTTGGAATTTTACACACATGGATCATAGCCAGAAAATCTTACTTGTTTTTTGGTTTTTGGGTTTTTTTTTGGCAGGAAATAATAAAGCGAATCAAGTAAGTGTATTTCTGAGAAACACTAGAAAGCAAGATTGAAGTTGTATTCAAAGGTTATAGTAATTATTTAGAGAAGTGGGTCAAAAAACAAAAAGAGAATTTATCTAAAGGCTTCATTACTCATAAGTCTTCCAGAAGTTTTAAGAAATAGGGCTATACCTTGCACTTGAACACTTCTCATTCTATAAACCTAGGAGTCTGCAGTATCTGAAATACATATACACCAGTCAATGGAACAGCTTGCTTTTATACAATCAGAGTTGTCAACAAAGTCTTGGATGGAAATTCTGTATGTTCCTTTTTTTTTTTTCTCCTAGAATGTCATTGAAATTTATTTAGGACATTGTAAAACTCACTCCCTGTTTCAGGAGGAAAGTGATTTATAGTAGTTATTTTAAATGAGAATGTTAAAATAATATATAAATCAAAAAAGGAAAAAACATGAAAACTTCTATATGTTACAATTAATATCACAGATCAATATAATGAAGACAAAATTGTTCTCTTTGTTTAGTTATGATTTATGAACCTAAAATATCTTTACCTGGTAAGTTTAATAAAAAAAAAATGAATGACTAAGGAAGATAGTCTTTTTGAAGTGACAGTAATTTCTCACTTGAAAAAAATTATCTTCATTTTCAAGCGTGAACATTAAAATATTGGCCTCTGGTTGAGACCACACCTCAAATACTGTGTTCAGTTTTGGGCACCTCACTGCAAGAGGGGTCCAATACTACTTTATACTTCTCTGGTATGTCTTTGGACTATGAAAATACGGATTTCAATCTCTATATCTGTATATGTTTGTATAACCAATGAAATGTATCTGTTGAATGGATGTATGTATATTGGCATCATTTTCACTGATATAATTGCCCAAAATGTGTGAGAAGTAGGAAATCTGGCTTAAAAATTTCTGTGTATTTGCATGCACACTAATAGTGCATTGCCAAAGTGCACACAGACCCCGATTGCTCATAGAATCATAGAATGTTTAAGGTTGGAAGGGACCTCTAGAGGTCATCTAGTCCAAACCCCCTGTACACGCAGGGTCACCTAGAGCACGTGGCACAGGACTGCGTCCAAGCGGGTTTTGAAGATCTCCAGAGAAGGAGACTCCACAACCTTTCTTGGCAGCCTGTTCTAGTGCTCTGTCACCCTCACTGTTAAGAAATTTTTCCTTAAGTTCCTGTGGAACTTTTGGTGTTTCAGTTTGTGGCCATTATCTCTAGTTCTGTCAGTGGCCGCCAGTGAAGAGAGACCATCACCATCCTCCTCACTGCCTCCCTTGAGGTACTTATAGACACTGATTAGATCCCCTCTCAGCCTTCTCTTCTCCAGGCTGAACAGGCCCAGCTCCCTCAGCCTCTCCTCATAGGGCAGATGTTCCAGGCCCCTGATCATCCTTGTAGCCCTGCGCTGGACTCTCTCCAGCAGCTCCACATCCCTCTTGTACTGTAGAGCCCAGAACTGGACACA